ATACGACAACCTTATCCCCAGGTTCCTTCGTCGCTACGCTAACGAACCTCAGCCACAAGCTTCCCTTCACCTTATCCTCAGGTTCCTTCGTCGTTACGTTATCATCCACAGCCACAAGTTTTCCTGGGTCATTCCTCTATAAATACCCACTCGATCAGTTGAAGAAAGCAGACGGCATCAATGACGCAGCAGCAGCAGCAGAAATTCTCAAGCCCTCATATGCTCTCTATGCTCTCTCATATTCTCTCTTCTTATTCTTCTTCTTCTTCTCTCTTTCTGTAGACAGTAGGTTAGTTACTGCATTCAGTCACCTGTACATCGACAAAGTCGGTAACTTCCATATGACTTCTTTATTTTAGAATGTGTGATTGTAATCTATCTTCCTTACCTTCCTACTATCTTTCTGAGTGGAAAAAGTTTGCCAGTCTCTGTATATGTAATCAGTAAGTTATGTAATTTAAATTTGTTTTTACATTTAAAATTTGTGACTATACTCATACTTCGTGGATTATATTTGATATATCTTTGCTTCCTGTTCTAATTATCATATTCCTGTTTTTGTATTATGTTACTATTCTGCAACAATTAATAGCTTATAACTCTGTAATCTTTGCATATTTAATATAAGTAATGATAACGGCTTAGGGTAGATCGGCTTAGGGTAGATCTTGCGGCGAAAATGGTATCAGAGCCAACCCTGTTTTAGAGATCTAACAGTTACTACTAGTTCTTCTATCTTAAGAAACTTAATAAATTAATCCATTAAAGAAAGTTGGTCCGAGAATTGAGGCTAGAGACTGTCACACCCCAAGAATTTACAGTACTGTTATTCCTGAGATGTGACAGACAAAACATATATACATCTATTGATAGGACAAATTTACAGTGGCGAGGTCTTACATAGTAAATAAAGAAAGCTAGCACAACAACAGTATCTTCCAAGGTTGATCTTGACTAGCACTCAAAATGAATCCGTAGTTATCCTGAAAAAATGTTACCATAGTTTGATGAGTTTGGCTACTCAGTAAGTGATCATCATAATCCTAAAAATAATCATGATTGAAAGTATCAACATTTTCCAAAATGAGATCTATTAATAGAAATGTATCAACAGTTTCACTTTCAATAAATGCATAATTAAGTATAATCCGAGTAATTGAAATGCTTATAACACTTTTAACGGCAGTACATAATTCAAAGGATTTCACAAAATACCCTACTGACGTCCCAAGTAGGTCACCTATATACCCCATCAGCGTCCTGATGGGTCCACTTAATCCCTTTCGGCGTCCCAGATAGGTCCACTTAATCCCTGCAGGTCCACTTATACCTCACCGGCGTACCGGATGAGTCCACTTAATCCCTACCGGCGTCCCAGATAGGTCCACTTATACCTCACCGGCGAACCGGATGAGTCCACTTGCATACTTAAATTATTTCTAAATCTCTTTAAACATTCGAAAGCAGCAATATCATGTACTCAACATATCACTGAAATCATTAATATGAATTTCACTTAAACCATTAATAACAGTCACTCTCTATAACATTTCAAAAATAACCAATCAAATATTTTGGGCTCAAATTTAAAAAGGTAGCAGTTTGTAAAGGCATTCTAGCATAATTGCCAATTTAATATGTATAGAAAAACTCTTATAGAAATTCAAGAATACGGAATTATCACAATTTATGGGATATCAATCTACAAATAAACATTTCACAACAATACTATAATCAATTGCAAAAATATCAATAATAAGGCAGTCATTTGCACATGAATTTTACAATGTCTAAATATTCAAAACAGTAGAAAGAAATATCAATTTTACTAAAAGCAGAAATATCACATTTATTTCTAATAATTTGATAGTATCTAAAATTTTCTAACAATAGCCAAGAAAAATAAATAAATTTATTTTTCTAAGAATTTACAGCATTTAAAATTTCTAACATAGATAAAATATCACAATTTTTATTAAAAAGATTATTTTTCAAGATAATGAGGTCGTGTGCGCATAAAATTTATCGCGCCTAAAATTCGTGATAATAAGCAGAAATAATTATTTCATTTCATTTTTAAAAAGAATGGATTATTTTTCGAGACAATGGGGTCACTTACACACAAAACTTATAAAATAAAGATCTTGGACGGAAGTATCACTATTTATTAAAAAGAGACTATTTTTCAGAAAGACGATGTCACTTACAAACAAAACTTATAAAATAAAGATCCTGGACGGAAATATCACTATTTATTAAAAACAGACTATTTTTCAGGAAGATGATGTCAC